GCGTGATCTACAATCCCTTGGAGATCAGACACTTCTGACGCCAAAGTAGACTTGTCTTTCTCTAATCTGTTTCAATGCAATCAATTTCATGCAATACTTCATTAACAAACACAGGATTCTTAAAATCTTATAATTCACGTGTAAAATGCATTTGTGATCAAAAACACAACCAATTTGTGGGGAATATATAAATCTATCACTACCTCTACAACTTTCGTCAAAAATTCATTTCAAATCCAATTTAAATGCAATTATCATATGCTTTGAAACCCATAACTATTGATGTCATGTCAGGCCATACCTTATCTCTAGACAGGTGTTCCACACTGGCCTTAACGTCATCCAATTCACCTTTAATTTGTTGCTTTTCCTTGTCAACCCTATTTGCAATTTTCGATCATTTTATGTTAAAAGTCTGTAATTTTCTAATCTTAGCTCACAATCAATCAAAAGTTATAAATAACTACAAATATGTTTCAAACATATCAATTGAGTTGAACTATTGCGGAGCTCTAAGGAATTTTCGGGTAATATTTGTTTTGGAAGTCGATTATAATATAAAGGACTGAATATGGGTTTCGTCTCAAGAATTACTAATTACTTAAAGGGATGTGGATTTGAATGGACTGAATGTTTGGACTATAGGGTGTATACCTGGCTTTGGCTTTGTTGAGTTGGTCGACCTGTTCGCTGAGTTCAGCGACGGAGTCGTTGTGTTTCTTTCTGAGGGCAGACATAGACTGTTCGTGTTGTAGATTGGATTCCTCGAGATCTCGTCTCAGTTTAGACATCTCTGCTTCGCGTCGTTTATTCATTTCGATCTGCGAAGAGGTGGCCNAGGTTTCGGAATTTACCCAAAATTGAAGCCCTTTCCTAATTAATGACAAATTCAATGGTTCCGTAAATTATGTGACAAACACTTGAAGTGTTAGCGAATCGGAAGCAATACATACTCTGCTCTCTTCATCGGCGGTTCGTTTCGCTTCATCGAGCTGTGTCTGGAGGGAAGTCTTCAATTTGGACAACTGTGCGACCTGTGACTCAGCGTCCTCGAGCTGTCTCTGGAGCTCTGAGTTCTCAACGGCCAACTTCTTCTTGGCGGCGTCGAAGTCACCCAAAGTGCGGTTCGTCTCATCCAACTTTCCCGTCACTTCTCCCAACTGCATCTCCAACTGCTTGTTCTGCTTCTCTGTGTTTGCCTTGAGTTTCATTCATCCATCAAATCATATTTTATGTTAACTTTGTGTTCACCAATACTTTTCAATATTAACATCATTCAATGCATGCATTTTTCCAACACAATGAAACATAACTTAAAATTCAAACAAAATTAGACTTAAATAAAATTCAAACCAAATTTAAACTAAATTAAAGAATGCATTAAAATAAAATCAAACAAAAGACAAACAAACACGACAACAGTGATGACCAGGGGGTAGGGATACCTGATTTTTGGTGGCGTGATCTACAATCCCTTGGAGATCAGACACTTCTGACGCCAAAGTAGACTTGTCTTTCTCTAATCTGTTTCAATGCAATCAATTTCATGCAATACTTCATTAACAAACACAGGATTCTTAAAATCTTATAATTCACGTGTAAAATGCATTTGTGATCAAAAACACAACCAATTTGTGGGGAATATAGAAATCTATCACTACCTCTACAACTTTCGTCAAAAATTCATTTCAAATCCAATTTAAATGCAATTATCATATGCTTTGAAACCCATAACTATTGATGTCATGTCAGGCCATACCTTATCTCTAGACAGGTGTTCCACACTGGCCTTAACGTCATCCAATTCACCTTTAATTTGTTGCTTTTCCTTGTCAACCCTATTTGCAATTTTCGATCATTTTATGTTAAAAGTCTGTAATTTTCTAATCTTAGCTCACAATCAATCAAAAGTTATAAATAACTACAAATATGTTTCAAACATATCAATTGAGTTGAACTATTGCGGAGCTCTAAGGAATTTTCGGGTAATATTTGTTTTGGAAGTCGATTATAATATAAAGGACTGAATATGGGTTTCGTCTCAAGAATTACTAATTACTTAAAGGGATGTGGATTTGAATGGACTGAATGTTTGGACTATAGGGTGTATACAGGGCTTTGGCTTTGTTGAGTTGGTCGACCTGTTCGCTGAGTTCAGCGACGGAGTCGTTGTGTTTCTTTCTGAGGGCAGACATAGACTGTTCGTGTTGTAGATTGGATTCCTCGAGATCTCGTCTCAGTTTAGACATCTCTGCTTCGCGTCGTTTATTCATTTCGATCTGCGAAGAGGTGGCCCCTCCCGCCTCCTCCAGACGTTCACTCAGTTCCTCGAGTTCGCGGGTGAGGTCTGCGCGCTGTTTCTCAGCCTTCGCTCGGGCCTGACGTTCAGCCTCCAGTTCCTCTTCGAGCTCTTCAATTCGGGCCTATTTTATGGTATAATAATCGTATGAATTTGTGAAACATAGGACACAACACAACACAACATCGACAACAGCGACAGAATTGATGCAATCAATAGCCATAAGAGCCGAAGCGATGCATGAGTTAACCGGAAGTGTCGGTTCAGTTCCGGTCATGTCTTAAGCAATACATTCATGAACTGTAATACTTCATAGAGAAAGTGGACGACACGGGGACTGTTCTGTAAAATAGGGTCCTGTGCCCGGCGGACAATCCGTTTGCTTTCGGTACTCAGATTACATGTCGGAGGCATATATCGAGCCTTTGTCTGTAACGGATAGAAAGTGGATTTGTCGGCCAGGGCGTCACCGGCACCTGTGCTCGATTGCATGGCACTTCTCACGTATTGGTAATCATGGGTATCACTTGTCGTATCTCTTAATGGCAATGAATATGAGACGTTGACATCACTTTCATCCACACTATCGTATCGATCCATTTTGTTGTTTGTTTGGACTGAACTCTTAAACGACTAACTGTTTCACTGATTGCATGAATTGGTAGTCACAATCACAACCAACAAATGTTAATCTATGAAATATCCACTTAGAAAGTGCACTAAAAACTTTTTAGTAAAAAACTTTTTTAGAAATATTTATTCTAACTGTAATTCATGAGTCTTTACTACGGAATGTCTGCTCAGACACCCCCACAGCATATACTCATTGCCCAAACACTTATTCTGTGATTCCTTTTCTGGAAACCTTTCCCCAAAGAGAGTCCAAACTAGAAGTTCCCATAAGTCTAAAGCAATTATAGACTAATTCATAGGGTTTGTTCAGATATTTGAGTACTGCATATAAATAGATTGAAATCCCGGCCAAATAAATATTCATAAATTCTGCGCTTTTGCCAAAATATGAGACATATTTTTTCAAAAAGGATTATTACCTGAAGTTCTTTGATTTGTTTCTGCAATTTAGCGACTAAACTCTGTTCATCTTCGAGTTTGGCGGCGAGACTGGCCATCTCTTTCTCCTTGCGTTGAATGGTTTGTTCCAACTCTTTCTTATTCTTCTCGAGGTCTACGACGGCCTCCTGAGCCAGTTTGAGGTCGCCTTCGATTTTGCGTTTATTCTTCTCGATCTCAGCCCTCTGTTTCTTCTCTCTTTCGAGACCGTCTTCCAGTTCATCCAAAGTCTGCTCCAATTTTGCCTTCACTTTATTCAAGTGATTCACTTTGTCTTCAGTGGCCTGAAGATCTTCGGATGTCTTTTGACTGACTTCTTGCATATTCTTTTTCTCTTTATTCAATTTGTTGATCAACTCGTCCTGATGTGCGATCTCATCATTCAAGTTACGGATTTGGTGGTCCTTTGAAGACTTGTCCTGCTCTGCCTACCAGTGCCACAAAACATACCATTCAGTGTTAATTAATATGTAAATAATTTTCTTAATTACTTAAGGCCTACAACTCGCTTATCAATCAAAACAACTGCTAATTAACTCCATGTAAACTAATCTTACTATTAGTCAAAACTCTATAAAAATAAAACTATTTTTTAAGTAATATAAAACAATTAATTACTTTCTGAAGTGAGAGCTCCATGTCTTCAATTTCTTTCTTTTGTTGAGAGATCTCTGATTCCAACTTCTTTTTGGCTGATGAGAGGGATGTGTGGGCGTCCTCTTCATGGGACAGTCGGTCTTGAAGGTCCTGCACGAGTACATCGTATTGTTTTTTAATTTTATTCATGTAATCATCACTAATAAAGTCTTTTTCATCATTAATTGTTGCTTTAATTTCGTTTTCTTTAGAAAATCCGTTCACAGCTATAGGCTTAGTAACACTCATGATTTCATTCATCATATTATTTGCTAACTCTTCCATTGTTTTAAACTTTAATTAATATTCACTTAATATAAATTAATTAAAATGATTTGGTTTATGAAAAATATATTTATGTAAATTCATGTATGGCTTCAAAACTAGAGTANAATAGTAAGATTAGTTTACATGGAGTTAATTAGCAGTTGTTTTGATTGATAAGCGAGTTGTAGGCCTTAAGTAATTAAGAAAATTATTTACATATTAATTAACACTGAATGGTATGTTTTGTGGCACTGGTAGGCAGAGCAGGACAAGTCTTCAAAGGACCACCAAATCCGTAACTTGAATGATGAGATCGCACATCAGGACGAGTTGATCAACAAATTGAATAAAGAGAAAAAGAATATGCAAGAAGTGAGCCAAAAGACATCCGAAGATCTTCAGGCCACTGAAGACAAAGTGAATCACTTGAATAAAGTGAAGGCAAAATTGGAGCAGACTTTGGATGAACTGGAAGACGGTCTCGAGAGAGAGAAGAAACAGAGGGCTGAGATCGAGAAGAATAAACGCAAAATCGAAGGCGACCTCAAACTGGCTCAGGAGGCCGTCGTAGACCTCGAGAAGAATAAGAAAGAGTTGGAACAAACCATTCAACGCAAGGAGAAAGAGATGGCCAGTCTCGCCGCCAAACTCGAAGATGAACAGAGTTTGGTCGCTAAATTGCAGAAACAAATCAAAGAACTTCAGGTAATAATCCTTTTTGAAAAAATATGTCTCATATTTTGGCAAAAGCGCAGAATTTATGAATATTTATTTGGCCGGGATTTCAATCTATTTATATGCAGTACTCAAATATCTGAACAAACCCTATGAATTAGTCTATAATTGCTTTAGACTTATGGGAACTTCTAGTTTGGACTCTCTTTGGGGAAAGGTTTCCAGAAAAGGAATCACAGAATAAGTGTTTGGGCAATGAGTATATGCTGTGGGGGTGTCTGAGCAGACATTCCGTAGTAAAGACTCATGAATTACAGTTAGAATAAATATTTCTAAAAAAGTTTTTTACTAAAAAGTTTTTAGTGCACTTTCTAAGTGGATATTTCATAGATTAACATTTGTTGGTTGTGATTGTGACTACCAATTCATGCAATCAGTGAAACAGTTAGTCGTTTAAGAGTTCAGTCCAAACAAACAACAAAATGGATCGATACGATAGTGTGGATGAAAGTGATGTCAACGTCTCATATTCATTGCCATTAAGAGATACGACAAGTGATACCCATGATTACCAATACGTGAGAAGTGCCATGCAATCGAGCACAGGTGCCGGTGACGCCCTGGCCGACAAATCCACTTTCTATCCGTTACAGACAAAGGCTCGATATATGCCTCCGACATGTAATCTGAGTACCGAAAGCAAACGGATTGTCCGCCGGGCACAGGACCCTATTTTACAGAACAGTCCCCGTGTCGTCCACTTTCTCTATGAAGTATTACAGTTCATGAATGTATTGCTTAAGACATGACCGGAACTGAACCGACACTTCCGGTTAACTCATGCATCGCTTCGGCTCTTATGGCTATTGATTGCATCAATTCTGTCGCTGTTGTCGATGTTGTGTTGTGTTGTGTCCTATGTTTCACAAATTCATACGATTATTATACCATAAAATAGGCCCGAATTGAAGAGCTTGAAGAGGAACTGGAGGCTGAACGTCAGGCCCGAGCGAAGGCTGAGAAACAGCGCGCAGACCTCACCCGCGAACTCGAGGAACTGAGTGAACGTCTGGAGGAGGCGGGAGGGGCCACCTCTTCGCAGATCGAAATGAATAAACGACGCGAAGCAGAGATGTCTAAACTGAGACGAGATCTCGAGGAATCCAATCTACAACACGAACAGTCTATGTCTGCCCTCAGAAAGAAACACAACGACTCCGTCGCTGAACTCAGCGAACAGGTCGACCAACTCAACAAAGCCAAAGCCAGGTATACACCCTATAGTCCAAACATTCAGTCCATTCAATTATCATCCCTTTAAGTAATTAGTAATTCTTGAGACGAAACCCATATTCAGTCCTTTATATTATAATCGACTTCCAAAACAAATATTACCCGAAAATTCCTTAGAGCTCCGCAATAGTTCAACTCAATTGATATGTTTGAAACATATTTGTAGTTATTTATAACTTTTGATTGATTGTGAGCTAAGATTAGAAAATTACAGACTTTTAACATAAAATGATCGAAAATTGCAAATAGGGTTGACAAGGAAAAGCAACAAATTAAAGGTGAATTGGATGACGTTAAGGCCAGTGTGGAACACCTGTCTAGAGATAAGGTATGGCCTGACATGACATCAATAGTTATGGGTTTCAAAGCATATGATAATTGCATTTAAATTGGATTTGAAATGAATTTTTGACGAAAGTTGTAGAGGTAGTGATAGATTTCTATATTCCCCACAAATTGGTTGTGTTTTTGATCACAAATGCATTTTACACGTGAATTATAATTCTGTGATTCTGTGATTTTGTGATTTTAAGAATCCTGTGTTTGTTAATGAAGTATTGCATGAAATTGATTGCATTGAAACAGATTAGAGAAAGACAAGTCTACTTTGGCGTCAGAAGTGTCTGATCTCCAAGGGATTGTAGATCACGC